TCATCCTGCTGCCCACCAGGACTCCCAGATATCCCCTATACTGCTCTCTAACAGATCATTTCCCATCCTATACTGGAACCTGAGATTGTTCCTGCAGCTTTGGGTAGATGAGCAGTGTACCTACCCATCTGAGTGGCTTCCTTCAGGAAGGACTCTCCTGTTGCTTCCTACCATCATCTTTCATACTTGAGGTTCTTTTTTGTGTATTAAAAGTCACATGAACTAGATTTGTGCCCTTGAAACTTTTCTGGCATTAGAAAATATACCAGCATAGAACAGAAGCTATTTGCTGTACTAATTTTCAAGCTTTTTCTCAGATGTTTGGGGTTTTTTTTACCCCACCCACTCAAAAGTACTTGCGATGCTCTCATTAATTTTGGAATAACCTTATGAAAATTCTGTGAAATGCAGAGCATGTCCCATATCAGATGAACTCTGTTGGTATATTTAAATGCAACATGACACATGGGTTTGTTTTTTTTTTTTCCTCTTTCTGTAGCCTTTCTAAATTAGATTTATAAGGGATTTTAAAAAAGACTGTCAGTATCAATGTTAGACCTTTTTATCTCAGGCTCATGGCTGCATGGCAGTGCTGCTTCAGTTCTACACAGTGTCATCAGAGTTTGCCAGCAGTAGTGACGTGTCAATGCCGTTGTGCAAGGTGTTGTGAAGGTTCATTTAGAAGTTAGTTTACATGCCAAATCACTGGTGTTCAATAAGGATGAACCTGCTTCAGGAAAAGCTACTGGAGTGATGAGAGGGAATATGAAATCTGCATCACAGGGGATCGAAAGCCCCGTGGCTTGTTTTGACCTAGGGATGTGAAGTCTAGGACCTGATTACTTAAATCCATGGTTTGGAAAGGGATGGGAGATGCACGTGAGAATGCACAAAAAATATCCAGGCTAGAAGACAGTGGTGACATGAGAATAAAGAGGTAAGGAAATTTAGGATGAAAATTAGGCTTCTGACAGTCAAAACAAAGACCTTCTCCCAGCAGAGCAAAGGGGAGAGTAACAGTTTTAAGATAGTCTATGTTTAATTCATAAAAAGGGCTGTGTGGTGTGGCTGCCCGCACTAGAAGCCTGTGTTGGAATGTCCCATTCCCATTGTGTCTTTTGCTAGATCATAGAATCATAGAATGGTTAGGATTGGAAGGGACCTTAAAGCTCATCCAGTTCCAACCCCCCTGCCATCAGCAGGGACACCTTCCACTAGACCAGGTTGCTCAAAGCCTCATCCAGCCTGGCCTTCAACACTTCCAGGGAGGGGGCGATAACTGCTTGGTGCAGTTCTAGGGCATGAATATTGCTGCCTGCCTGTCATTCAGCCTTTTTTTTCTCCTCTGAGGAGACAGTTGTGGAAGGTAGAGCTTTTTGAAGCAAATGTGCTGTAGATGGTACATGAGCAAATAGCTGAACTGGGGCCAAGTGACTCTGTATACGTGGATTGTGCCGGCCCAGGAGCGAGCAGCTTCCAGTGTCACAGCAGACTGGGATGGCGCGGAGCCTATACAGACACCAGTGGAGCCAGCAGAATGTCTCCTATTGACTCCAGCAGACTGCAAATGAAGCCTTTCGTTGTTATGATTCACAGTAACTAAGGAAACCTAAATTCACAGTAGAAGAGTCTGCAGCTTTCCTTTTGAGGCCTGAAAAAGACTGTGACACTTTGATTTTTGAAGTGGAAAGCCCTCTCGCCATCTTTTTGTCAGGTGTATGCTGGGTTCTGATGTGAGACTTGGTGAGATGGGCTATTTTTTTTGCCTTGCCAAGAATGCAACAGACTGTCCCCACGTGGTGTCTCTGATGCTAAATTTGGAATGTTAATATTCAAGGTGTTCCCCACCCCTTAAAGTAATGGACATCCACCTTTTGGGGAGTTCTTGTGAGGTGCAGATCTTACACAGGCACTATTTCTTCTCATCAGGAAACTGAGGGAGTTCAGAGGTTTGGCCAAATGTATTTTTGTTATGCTTATTTGTTCAACATGTGGTTGTTTTCTGAGGCAGTTTTTGTTTTTCCAAAGTAACCAATGTATATGTACACAATGATATAGATCTTAACAAAGAATCCTTGAAATAAAAAGCCTAACAGCTTTTTTGTTTGTTTGTTTTACAGTCACCTCTTAGCCATGACCTCATCCTTAACCTGACTCAGGATGGAATCAAACTGCTGTTTGATGCTTTCAATCAGAGACTTAAGGTAATAAAATACCCTTCCTGCAAACAAAACAATGCAAACCAAAACCCTGGGATATACTGACACTTAACAGAGCGTAAGGATGTATATAAAATTGCTGAATAACAACCCAGATTAGTAGTTGTTGGAAGTACTTATTTCTCTGGTAGTAACCTGTTACACCATGGTACGCTTGTATTTTTCTTTGTCAAGATCTCTTTTATATTAACTATAGAAATACACATTTTGAAGAAGAATTTTCAGTTCAATTTGAGTTCAGATGGAAAAACTTAGCACTTTTTTGCCAGATTCTAGTTTGTAATTATCTTATGGTATTTTCTGTTAATGAAGTAATTGTGTAATAATGAGATTTCTATTTTTGTCAAGATTTAGAATTTAATCATTCAGATTGCATATGTGAATTTACAATTTTTAAGATAATATCTTGAAAAATTCTCTTTGTCAGTGTAAGCTACACCTGCTGTACAAAACCTTTCCAAAATATATTTAATTCTTAAGGAGACTGAACTCAAAACTGACATAATCACTTCAAGTGCATGGCTTGCTTACTGACAGTTTTTGGAATGTCTTTGAAGTGCTGTAACTAGTGTGTGCCATGTCTCTTCATCTCCACTTTTTGAGGGTCTCACTTTGTCATTTCCATACCTATTGTTCTAAGAAATATGGAAGAGCTTTTCTTCTCATCCTTCTCTACAGTATGTTTTAAAATTGGTTTTAAAGAAAAAAATAGAAAAAACTTTTCTGGTATGTGGTTTTCAGTTTGTTTAAAAAATAAATAAATCCTTTCTGGTGTGTTGTGGTTCAGTGGTCTAGTGATACCTTTTATTTGTTTTAACTATGAAGAGTAAAGCTGTGTAAATGCAAACAATGCTGTGAGAACTTATACTTGTAAAAGTATTCAGAAAAGCTTTATGGAAGAAATTCTATGGGATCAGATCAGAAGTGAGCAATAGGACTTGTTAAGGAATAGTATAGATGGAGAATAAGTAATGCTTGTTTTTTAAGATGGTGTGACTGTATTTTCAGTGCTGCTCAGCAGTAGCAAAACTGGAAAAATCAGGATGCTTTTTTCTTTGTGTGTTGTTTTTTAATAAATGCTTGCTATTAGATTTGGTTGTGAAAAAGAGATTGAAACACAGGCTGCTAAAATAGAAAGTTTTGACAGGCCCAAAGCAGCTGGTGCAGGAAGAAAACCATAGCAATATTCCTAAAAAGTTTCCTCCCTTTTTCCAGGGAGGTGAGGTGGCTTGTGCACAGTCTCTACTCACTTTCAGTAGCCAAAGCACTGCAGGAGATGTTAGTATTTATATTATAAATATTAGTTTTTGTTATTTTTATATTATAAATATTAGTTTTTGTGCTGACATGAGAGTAGATCTGGTACCAGGTTCTGGAAACATTACAGTGAATTTTAGCAACAAGGTCTTTCACACACAGTCCCTCTGAGGTGAGGAAAGAGATTTCACAGCATTGCTCTGTTATTGCTGGTCACCTGAGCATTTTAATGAGTTTTACTCTGTAGTAATTGTCAAAAATAGTGAGTGTGCCAAAACAGAAGGTTTTAATCATTTAAACCAGCTGCCTTCTGGCTGCGTAGTAAACTCATCACTGAAGAGTTCTTGGTCTTCTCAGTTGTTTGTTCTTCTGCACTACGGAAGAATCACATGAATCCTGTTTTCAGTGTAGCTTCTGTAATTTAAAACATTTTTAAAAATAAATCATAGAATCATAGGATGGTTAGGATTGGAAGGGACCTTAAAGCTCATCCAGTTCCAACCCCCCTGCCATCAGCAGGGACACCTTCCACTAGACCAGGTTGCTCAAAGCCTCATCCAACCTGGCCTTCAACACTTCCAGGGAGGGGGCTTCTACAACTTCCTTGGGCAACCTGTTCCTGTGTCTGACCACCCTCACAGTGAGCAACTTCTTCCTAATATCTAATCTAAACCTCCCTCTTTAAGCTTAAACCCATTTCCCCTTGTTCTGTCATTAACTTATGAAAAGTCCTTCCCCAGCTTTCTTGTAGCCCCTTCAGGTACTGGGAGGCTGCTATAAGATCTCCCCGGAGCCTTCTCTTCTCCAGGCTGAACAGCCCCAACTCTCTCAGCCTGTCCTCATAGGAGGGGTGCTCCAGCCCTAAATCCTTTTCTAGGGCCGTGGTCTGTTGCAATATTTCTTCAGTATACGTGTTTTTCATGACTTCTGTGAGACCTTTTGACTACCTTTAAATTTTGCTGACTTGTACTTGTTTCTTCCTCTGCTGTCAGTAAAAAGAAATGTTGGCACAAGTAGATGTGTCTGAACTGTGGGACAAGGGATGATGGCAGATGGGTGCCTGCTGGCTGCTCTCAGGGGGTTTCTCTCACGAGGGACCTGGTTTGTGCTGTTCCTCCTGCGTTGTTCCTTCTTGTTACACTCATCCTTTTGTCTTCCACCACTGCAGCGTGTTTCAGCAGAACTTCAGGAGAGCACCTGATGCTCTCTGGTAGTTGCTGCAAAACTAGATCTGTGTGTGGGGTGGTTTTCTCTATTTTCAGAAACATTTTCTAGGGGGTAAAGGTGATGTGCAAGATCATTTTAAAAAAAAAAAGTAAAATCATTCCTAATTAGTAGCCTTTGTTTTTAATGAGCTGTACAGTAAAGGAAACCTGGACAGGTCAAACTACATTTGAATTAAAATACTGGATAACCAGGTTTTTCCAAGAAGCATAATTCAAAGTACACTTATTAAGAAGAAAAATTAGTTTGCTTTTCTTTATGTTGATTCTGCCAGAATGTTCATTTGTTACTTGCTTTGTGCTGTACTTGTTGCTTATATCCTGAAATGTGTGGGCTTCCTGAGCAAACAAAGTGCTTCAGAGAACTCTTCCAGCTTTTTATGAGTCAACAGCCTATCATTACATGTTGATTTTTTTTTTTTTTTTTTTTTTTTTATATAGTGGTTTAAGCATTGGAAGTTGTTTTATTTAGGATTATTTGCTGGGCATCTCCCAAAACCAAGACTTCCTTCTTAGCTGGTGATATTTTTAGGTTTTAAGGCCACATTTGGTAGCAAGCTCCTTGGGGAATTCTCCTTTATTCTCTAGCTGAACAGTAAGTCCTTTCTAAATCTGCCACTGATTTGTGGACGATTATATACAGCGATAAAGTGCTTTACCTTTTCTTTTCAGCAGTTATGATGTGCTCTATGTATTTTCCTTTTCCTGCTAAAAAAGCTGACACAGAAACACATATGTAGGGTGGAAAAAGCTTGTGTTTGACTGTGGTTACTCGCCAAAAATAATCTGCTTAAAGCCCAGCCTCGCCTCAAGATCCAGTAACAGTCACATAAAATCATATGAAATCAATCTCAGATACATTTTTGCAGTAACAAAGGATCCATAACTCATATTATCTGCAGAGAACACACTGTTGCTGAGGCAGTTTTCAGAGTTTCATCTCTGTCCCTGTGACTTATCCTAGCAGAGTGCTGTTAAGGAGGGGAGCGAGCAGCACTAGCTAGCCTGGCCTTTTGACAAGGTTTTGCCTCTGGAATGATTCACAAATGTGTGAAGTATGGTCACGTTTCTGTTTGCTGTGTTTCAGGTGATTGAAGTTTATGACTTGACTAAGGTGAAGTTAAAATATTGGTAAGTGATTTAAGACATCCCATGATTTCTTCTTGATTACAGTGACTGTTTTCTCTCCTTTTTTTTTTTAATCTTGACTTCATTTTTCCAATCCTTTTTAAAAAACAAAACAAACTCCAAAAAACCCAAATCCCAACAACAACTAAATAACTGTCAAAAAAGAATGGAGATAGTTATCCTTTCTTGAACATAGCACTTGGTTAAATTACTAGTGTGGGAGATTTCTTCCAATTTAAATGTGGCATTGCTATTAGTAAACATCTGTAGCATCCATATCCAGTATTTTTAAGGCGGATTCATTTTGTTTTCTTTTTCAGTGGTGTCCATTTTAACTCTCAGGCAATTGCTCCAACCATAGAACAAATTGATCAGTCATTTGGAGCAACACATCCAGGAGGTAAGCCGAAGTATTTCTGAGAATCAGAAACACACCTAGATTGGCAGACTTCTTTCTAGGAAGTTTTTCCTCTATGTCTGCCTAGAGAAACGTGTAGACACTTCTGTTGTCAAATGATCTGAAGCTGTGTCCCAGAATGGTCATGTTCTTATAGCTGGGATATAATGTAAAACATACTGTAGGTTCAGTTGTGACTTTCTTCAAGTGAAATAGCGAGGCAGAGAGTCATAGGCATGGAGTGGTGTGTTCAGATATCATTAATGATCCGTTTTGAACTGCCAGTACCAGGAAATTGTGCCCTGCTGCTTTGATGCTTTTGTTTCTAGACATTTTTATGCATGGTCAGCTCTGGAGTGTCCTTAGGGATTAAGCATACTATGAACATATAGACATTGGAGCTGATCTCTGTGCGGAGTCAGCGAGAACTGTTGTGCTCAGAGCATGGAGCCTGAGCAGTGGTTATACCCCTGCTAGGGCTGGATCAAATCTGAGCCTGTGTATAACTGGCTTGCATCTCCCTGTGCCTCCTTCCTGTTACTGGGAGCACTGGGGAGGTGTGAAGCCAGCCTGTGTGCAGTGTGACCAGGACAAGTTTAGTTAACTGGCTGAACCCACTCTGGCACACCTACATGGCTGTTCACCACCTCTGTAGCAGACAAAATACTACTTTTAAGCTCCTTGTTCACATATGAAAGTGGACAATTTATTTCAGGGGTTTGTTAGGTGATGGAAACAAGCCAGTGGTGAAACTTTGAAGAGGATATTTGTAATTAAACTGCTCAGGAACTGCTCAAGAAATGGAGCCACAAGCTGGCGTAACAAGAGAGAAGATTAAAGGGTATATATCTTGCCTCCATATAGGCAAGGCACCCTTTTTAGAGCATCATTTTCTATTTTTTAGCTTAACTCAGTCCATTTGCAGTAGTCAGGCTGATCCCAAATAGGCTCAAGTTCTTTGTGATTGATGGTGATGCTTATCTAGTCTTTGTCCCTGTTCTCCGCAGACAGTCTCTTGCACACTACAGAACAGGATTTATTAACTGTGGAGGGTCATGTGGCTAAAGTAATATCATTGCATAAAAGCCTGCTCTAGTAGATGAGTATCAGATTGAGATCAATCAAGCTTGGAGGATTTCTAGCCATAATACTTCAAGGACCACAATCTGCTTTTTTTTAAACTTTAGTCACGATCTTAGCATTTCCTCTAGGCAGAAACTCCGAGATCTATAGTTAGATCTGTTATGGAAATAGTACATACAAGAGCTTATGGAGAATTTAGGAAGAGTGAAAGGGGTTCCATATCCTTGAGCTTATAATTTTACTTGTTCTGTGACAATGGTTTATTTGCAAATGTTTATAGAGGTGAGGTGCTTGCAAAATTGTGATATTATGAAGCATAAAAATACATTCCCAACTGTAAGCATTGCTTGTGATAGCAATAGCATGTTTTATTACTGCATAAAATCGTACACAAGCACTTAAAAACATAGCTTGGCATCACGTGTCCTCATGCTGAATTTGCCAGATCTTGTGTGCCTGTCATATTCAATTAAGAAAACTCGAACGCTTGCATCATCATCTGATGATAGTTTCTCATAACAGCTTTTCATCCAGTGACATGTAGATATGGAAATGTATTTATTAAAATCTTGGACTCTGTTACCATTTCACTGGTGCATTTGCTTATTCAGTTTCCTCACTGGAAATTCAGTATCTTCTATTAACCACCTACCTCACAGAAATAAATGCTCTATATTAAGCTGCCTGTCATACACAGTTTGAACTGTATTGTGCAGTGCAAGCTTTTGATAACTCCTTTTTTATTTTCTGAAACAGAAAAGACAAAAAACCAGAGTAGTTTTCAGTATGTGAGAGGGTTGCTAACAGCGTTTTCACGTTCCACAAAAATTTGAGCTGAGGTGGGGAGAGAAAGGTGGGAAGAGAGACCTTCCTCTTAATGTGAAAAACATACCAAATGCCAGTTTTCATGAATGAAACTGTGACACAACCACTCCTTTTCTTCTCTGTTCCTTTTCTTCTCCTCCAAAACCCCAATGCAAGCCCTTTCAGTTTAAGATCATTTTGCTTTTTATCTCTGTGCATCACCTCCACTACCATTTCAAACAAAATGTCATCTTTCACTTAAAACCAAGGTGGTTGCAGAACTTTCCTGCAACAAGATGGAGTTATAGTTTCAAAACATGTTTCAAAAGGTTAGCGGTGGTTTTGTGTTGAAACCAACCTTCACTGAGCAGTTCTGGTTTTGCCAAATCAGTGGTTTTAAAAAAAGAAGAGTCATCAGGAAAATTGCAACCAGCTTCGTTACTTTTTTGGCTAATGTTAGTTTGAAACTTCATAGTATCTTTGTCATGGGGCTGATTGAAATATGACCACTTTGGAGGTCAGTAGCTTCATCCAAGCCAAGATTTTATCCCACATTTCCATGATTCTCTGACCTGACCTCCTGCTGGGAAGTGTTTGCTCTTGCCAGTGGTTCTGTTGAAATCACATCCTGCTCTGAGTCTGTCTGGATGTGGCTGTTTGCCGAAGTGCCATTCAGCATGGATGAGGACTGTGGGATCGAACTGAAGTCAGAAGGTAGAAGCAAAACAATCTTCCCTCCTGTACAGTGGCCTTGCAAGGACTGGGGGATCCTGTCTTCTAGCTCTGTAACTCTCCGAGACTTCAGACGTTGCCCAGGCTCCTCTGAGGTGTCAGAAAAGTCTTGTGCTTGATTCCAGGAGGACTTGCCTTTTGGATCTGCCTCTTGTTTTTATCAGGACTGTGTCCATTCTGTAGCCTTGCTGGTGTTGGTGACTTTGTCCCATCCTGCTCTACAGAGACATTTCCCAGCTGGTCATACTCAGCTGCTTTCCTGGAAGGCAAACTCTCTCCCTTTCCCTCACCCAGAATGCAGCAGCAAAGAAGTAGACTTTTTGCTTCTGTCAGCAATTCTGAACAGAATTTTTCTGCAGGGTACCTGTGTAGTAAATTAGTTTTAAAAAATAGTAATTTAAAAAAAAGGCTTACCTTGTTCAGTCACATGGTTGTTACACGTGGTCTTGAGGGAGACATGAGAGAACTTCAGGATAAAAACATTCCTTGCCCTTTAAGCCTAAGCATCAACAAACATTGCAGGGATGGGGACTGATGTGATTTGTATAATCAGATATCACACTTGGCATGACTAGGGGAAAAACACTTCTCCAGCTGGCTGTGGGCTTTGGAAAAGATGCATCATAATTTATCACATGAGAGAGATTTGTGTAATTTTCCTGCAGATCAAAACATTTCCCTCTCCCTACATGTTTTCCTTTGAGTGACAAGCAGGGAAAATGCTCTTAACCAGCAAATTCTCCAGAAAAGGCAAATGGTGACTTTTGAAAGCTTAATGCTTATTGCTCAACTATTATTTTTCTATCCTGGGCAGTCTGGCATTGTCCAGATATCTTGTGACATGTCTCTCAAGTTGAACATTTGAAAGACACTTTGGAGGGGGAGGGGAAATATATTTATATGCATTTTCTCTCTACACTATGTCTTCTTAAATATAAAATTGAGAGAAGAATAATATGGAACCAATTTCCTTTGGTAAAGTGGAAGAAAGTGGCTTCTCTTGTTGGAGTGTTTCTTTATTGTTTTTTACCTTTGTTGTTTTCAAACTGTTTTGCAAATGAACCAGATTCTGTGTGTTAGAAGAACACTCTGTTCCCCCCACAGTGGCTACTGGACACAGGTTGACGTTTGGTAGCATCAATCCCAAAACTCTTCCCAAGCTCCCAGTCTCCTGGGATTGTTTTTAAGCTTTCCACAGCCTCAGAAAACAGTATGTCTCATTAGAGTAAGCACTGGGATGATTTTTATTGCTGTTTGTAGTTGATGATGTGCAATTTAGGGTGATAAATCGGGACATCTTTTGAGGTGATGACGGCTGGAAGTCTGCATGTGTTCTGATTTATTACTGCTCTCTGCAAGAGCTGACCCATCGGCTGGTGTTTCTGGTGATACTGGTTTTAATGATGGTTGGAAATGGTCAAGGACCTGTGTGTCTGAAACATTTCCTTCTTGTGCCATATTACTTAGAAACACAGGTAGCTGAACTGGGATGTGCAAGTGGGAGCTCTTCTCAGGGAGGAGAGGTGGAAGTGGCAGGGAGGTGAGCTCCTGCTTGGGAATGTGTTTCCCAGTGGTGTGAAATACAGAATTTATCAGCATTCTGGGCACATCTGTCTGAAAGACTTCCTGGTTAATATTATAAAAGTGTTTTGCACAATCAACAGAATTGTTTTGTATTAGTAGTAGCTGTTTAAACTACTACTAATACAAAACTAATACTAGTTTAAACTAGTTTAGGGATATTAAGATATAATTGATCGTGTCGTATTGTATCATTAGGGATATGTTCGTGCCTACAGTCTTACATAGGCAACTTTTGCTTTAATGAATCTAAGATTTCTCTTATTCCTGTGTTTTGACAGCAACAAATTAAAAGCAAAACTGTTACTGTCCTGTGTAATTGTGTTCCTCCTGTGTCTTGAGCTGTAGCAAATTCATTGAGAGAATGAAAGTGCTGTTAGAACTCATCGGGAGAATTCTTAGTTTATTTTGGTAACTCTTTTTGTTTTTGCTTTCTTTTCCCTTTTAGTGTATAATTCAGCTGAGCAACTCTTTCACCTCAATTTCAGAGGACTGTCGTTTTCCTTTCAGTTAGACTCCTGGACTGAAACTCCGAAGTACGAGGTCAGCAATCATTCTTAGTTAATGGATAGTCTTTTTTGCCTCTATAGCACTTGCAAAATAGCACCTACAGAATGTCTCGCCTGCAAGCAAAAGAAACCAGTAATTTGGAAGGAATTTAACTCTTCAGTTGTCCTCTTATTCATGCTATGTACTCATTTCAAAGTTTAAAATTTGCTTCCTTTTAGCAGAAGGCATATGCTTAGAGGTTTTGCTTGCATCATGAACTGGGAGTAGCAATTCTGTTGTTAAAAGGAGTCTTCTAAAAATATGAGTGCTCTCTATGTGAATACATAAATATTAAGCAATCTACTGGAAGGCTGTTCTTTTATCAGATATTTTTTGAATCTCATCAAAGTGATTATGTAACTAAACTAGGGTAGAGTTCATAAAATACATTTTCATCTCAAGTGTCCTTCAGTGTGAGTGCTTTTAGAAAGCCAAATGAATGAGCTTTACTTGTAATGCCTGTTTCCATATTTACCAAATGTTTGCATTGGTTACTGAATAATTCAACATATTATTGTGTTCTCTGAAATCTTTGGAAATCACTGCCTAGCGTGGAAACATGATCAGGTCTTCTGTGATTTCCACCTGTACTAACAAAAATGTATGTATGAATTGTTTTGTTTGAAAATGCTCTTAGTTCTATTATCTAGGCTTAGCAGTTAAAAAGGATGCGTGCTGTATCGTATTAAAATAAAAAGGAGCATATAAAGAGCCAAAACCAAGTGGAAGAAATCAACCAACATGATGGCACATGTTTTTATATGGTAGCCTAGTACTTTAGTGTTGTGTTTTGACATGTGAAAGAACAGGGGATAACCAGGGGAAGTTACTATTTAGCAGTAGTGAAGGTCAGTTGGGGTTTCAGAAATATGGGAAAGTAAACAGAACGAATGTCCCAACAAAGCAGTTGCTTTTCATGCAAGAGTTCCCAAGGCATTTATAAATGAAATGGCCAAGCTGCTAAGAAAGTCAATTGTTATACCAAAGATTTGTAAAGATCTTAGAATATCTTACAGGTTGGAAGGGACCCATAAAGATCATGGAGTCCAACATCCTGCTCCTTATTAAAATAAAACTGCTAGAATCAATTTTAGCCATTGCATCTGTGTGTTTTATTTTGGTACATGGTTCAGTTAACTAAGAAAATAATTAGGGATCGTTACAGAATGCTTGGTGCAAATATGCTTTGAGAAGGACATAGTGTGGTTCTTGGGGATGATACAGTTGTTCTTAGCTGCCAGAACAGTAGGGAAAGTAGTTTTGCATTCTCAGTCTTTCATCCCATTACTCAAATGATGATGGTAAAATGTTGTTTGCACAGAGTGAAAGGTGAAAATCTCCCCAGGATTATAAATAGGTAGAAATAGGATAGTTTAGAAACAGAGTAGCATGAAACAGTCCACAGGGAAGATGACTATTTGTGGAGCCTTTCAGGGAGGAACACTAGGAAAGAATAAAGAGCAAAATGAAATTTGGAGATGTTCAAAACTTTCAAGCTCAGAGAAGATCATATAGGAATGCTACACCAGTTAGCAAAGCAATGTAATCTCTGCTTATGGAAATGTAAAAAAACCTCTGAATAAAACTTTGGATTTTTTATATAACTGGTAACAAACTGCAGGTGAGGAGAACATTAAAACCTACTCAGTTTCTGTTAAGAAATGAGGCATATATGGCCCAGGCACTTCCATGGCTCTAGAGAAGACTTTTCTGTTGCTGAGGCATAAGTGTGTTAAAAAGTAATCTAATCTCTGACTACTTTAGAAAGCTGTGTTTTGAGATGTTAGTGTTCTGGGCAGGTTCAGAAAGAGGATTGAAATCAGGACATCTCTAGATTTGCCAGTTAGTGGAGGTTCCTTTCTAAATACCTATAGCAGTGAAAGTCATTCCTCTGGGTTAATTTTTTTCCCCCTAAGAATAGCTTTTACCTTATGTGATGTCCTGCTAAAGTAGACTGGGATAATAGTTTGCATATTGTGCATCTTGCTTTTGTTGACTGCTTGTGACAAAGTTAGTTTCTTTTTTGTCTAGTGCCAACAAAATATGTTGACAGTCTTGAGGAAGGTCCTGTCATCTTCAGAGTTGAAGGAAAGAGGCTCTTACTGTACTAGAAGAATGAATCCAACTTCCTTAGCACGCTTTCTATTTGATGAGAACACTCAAAATCCCTATCAAAACAATATGTATAAGAATGTGGTGATAAGGAGAGTGGATAATCTATTTAATGAAGGAGTTTCTGTTCATCAGATAAAGGCATTTACAAACCAGTGAAAATGATAAAAGGCTGAAATTCATGCAGTGGGAGAGAAAAAAGAAGTTCTACCTTTAAGATGGCCAAAAATTAAATACTGCATGTCAGTACAAATATTTTTATATTGCTGGTTGCCAGTGATCAGACTAAGAAACCTTGAATTCTCAATACACACCATGACTAATTGTCAGACTAGTGCCATCTTTTGGTGCATAAACATAGTGAGTGTTTCACCCCAGATGGGAATCCAGGAGTGGTGTCATGTAAAGAAACACCATGTAGAAGGGTTTTTTATTGTTGGTTTTCTCCTTGTCTTTGGCTAGAGACTTACCTGAGCTGGGAAGCATATATTGTATTTCTAATGTAATTTATAAATTTGACCTGAAGTGTCCAGTGTGTCATATAATGAGAATGACTTTGTATATCCACAGCCTAACTTTGCCCATGGTCTGGCCTCTCTGCAAATACCACATGGTGCAACTGTGAAACGCATGTACATCTACAATGGAAACAGTCTGCAGGATACCAAGTACGTACAGCTGGTCATGCTGGTTTGATCATTTAGAATATACTTTCTTCCTCATTTATTTAGGGTTTTGTGAATACTACATGTAATAATGTACTTCTTTATTTCAGTTTGGATCTTTTATGAATTTGTTGGTGTGCAGAAGGCCTTTAGGTACCAACCTCTTTCAAACTTCTGTAGGTGTTGACCTCAGACCTTATAATCAAATGTTGGTTTAATTTGTGTTGCTATAAAATCAGCTTGGCTCAGCTATAATAGGCTAATTCACAGAATCCCAGACTGGTTTGGGTTGGAAGGGACCTTAAAGCTCATCCAGTTCCAACCCCCCTGCCATCAGCAGGGACACCTTCCACTAGACCAGGTTGCTCAAAGCCTCATCCAGCCTGGCCTTGAACACTTCCAGGGAGGAGCAGCCACAGCTTCTCTGGGCAGCCTGGGACAGTGTCTCACCACCCTCACAGCAAAGAATTTAATCGTAAAGAATTCAATCAACCTGAAAATGAATTCATTAAGTAAAGGAGGAAATGTGAATCTAGTAAGAGATGCAATTAGGATATTTTTACTCTGTATTTTTTTGCATGCTGATGACCTCTCCCTAGACAAATGAAGCTTGGTGTAGACATTCAATCATTTTGTAGTGTATTGGAACTGTGTATGTCATGGCAGGGTCCTGCCAAGGGTCTTGGACTCTTTCTATAAAAAAATATAATAAAATAGGTATTTTCAAGCTTAAGCCATATGCATAATCTACCATATATTCAATATTTTTGCAGTTATTTGACTGAACTTACCATTCTGAGGAAACTAATCTTCATGCCTTAATACCAATGAAGTAGTTGTATTTTAATATGGTTAATATTTTCAGTGGTATTGTATTCTGTCCTCTTTTAAGCAGTAGTTTCTTGTACAACCTCTGATGTTTTGCTCTTTCTAAAAACATGGTTCCTGGGGTTCCTTACTCAAGGAAAAATTGGATGGACTTCTGTAATTTTTGCCTTTAAGCTTATGAATACCTACACTGATAAGGGGGTGGTTTTTGCAGAGGCAGTAGTGTGTAAATGCTAGAAGATTAACACATCTGTGGATTACTGCACAGAAGGGAGGAAACCTTGTCTCCTAAGTAGAAATAAGTGCACTTCAGAAAAATGTTGTCTGTGCCCATCTGTGACACGGTGGGCTTTAGTGAAAGCCCTGATTGTCATGTGGGGCTCTGGTGTGTGTGTGTGTGTGTGTGTGTGTGTGAGAGCTCAAAGCCTCACTCTCAGCTCATGTCATTCACACAGAGGAGAAATTCACATAAGAAAAGTGAATTTTACAGAGGATATATACAAACTAACACACAAACCAGCAGCCCTTCCATTGAAAATACCTTTCTTGGGGCTGTTACAATTTTCTCAAATATTATTGTAATTGAATTAAGATGAGAACTGTCCCAGTAAAGTAGGACAGTTGTTTGTGGTGTACCTGCCCAAGCTGGATTCATGTTCTGGGCTATGGGTTACCTTCCCAAGAGCAGTGAGGGCATCACAGAGGAGGCTTTTCTGCTGCATTTCTGCATTTGGGTGTTATGCCTAGTTCAAGGATTAGGTTTCTTTAAAAAATATACAACTTCCCATGAGAGAAGTTTGAAGTACTGTGTCCTTATAGGAGGTATCCAAAGGCTAGATACAGTTTCTGTAATTTCTTGAGTCTTTCAAACTTGCAGTTTGTTTCGTTAATAGTAAAGGTCCTGCATTTGAATGCTTCCATGTTGTTCCTCTTCCTTTTTCCTCAGGCTTTCCAATCCTTGTGTTTAATGTAATTTTTAATCTTTAGTCTGAGTTAAATGCAGCTTTGTCAAAATCAGCGTGCTCTGTTCCAGTGAACTGGTAACAGCTTGTAAATGGAAAATGTGAAGGTTAAGTGAATCCTACGTACACTTTTTGTGTGCTTGGTTTCAGGGCTCCCTTGATGCCCCTCAGCTGTTTCCTTGGTAATGTGTACGCTGAGAACGTTGATGTTCTGAGAGATGGAACTGGACCCTCAGGTTTACGGCTTCGCCTACTCACTGCAGGTATTAGTAACACTCAGAACATTGAGCTGGCTGCTTTCCTCAGGAAAAGAGGGATGAACCTGTATAAATTAAGTGCAGATTATTTGTGATGATTTTACAAGTCATTTCAGTGTTCTATATACCTTATTTTGAACTATTGGAAAGAAAACCCAATAGAAACCCTGTGAAAGTGAGTTTGCTGCTGCATTTCCCTGGCCCTGGAGAAATCAGAGGACTGTAGCCCTGTCCTCTGTAGTTTCAGTTCCTTGCAGAAATGGAATTTATCTCTTGGTGGATGTGCAGAATAAGAGAGATATAAGTGCACCACTGAAAAAAAGCGAGGAATCAAGAAGCCCTGTGTACATGTGAGCTGTATAATCATAGAATGGTTAGGATTGGAAGGAACCTTAAAGATCATCTAGTTCCAACCCCCCTGCCATCAGCAGGGACACCTTCCACTAGACCAGGTTGCTCAAAGCCTCATCCAGCCTGGCCTTCAACACTTCCAGGGAGGGGGCATCTACAACTTCCTTGGGCAGCCTGTTTCACTGTCTCACCACCCTCACAGTGAGCAACTTCTTCCTAATATCTAATCTAAACCTCCCCTCTTTCAGCTTAAACCCATTTCCCCTTGTTTTGTCATTAACTGCCCTTATGAAAAGTCCCTCCCCAGCTTTCTTGTAGCCCCTTCAGGTACTGGGAGGCCGCTATAAGATCTACCTGGAGCCTTCTCTTCTCCAGGCTGAACAGCCCCAGCTCTTTCAGCCTGTCTTCATAGGAGAGGTGCTCCAGCCCTCGGATCATCATCATAATGTTGATGGGTTTATGATTAATTCTGGAAGGTTTTTAAAAATGCCAGCAAGGGGCTACATCAATGCTGCAGCCTTAGACTGCTCTTTAAATTCAGTTCTGTTTTCATTTGCTCATAGAAGACAGCAGTGAAAATGACAGGCTGATGAATAGCTTCTCCTTGTGTGTGCTTTCAGAGATGGGGGTGGGCTTAGAAATTAGGGAAAGGTATGACTGCAAAGGAACCTTGTTCAGTCACCATAACTTGAGACTTGACAGTGTTTAAAAAAAAAATAAAATACTGAGATGTTTTTAACAGTTTTCATTAGCAGGCTTGGCTTTGGACCTTTTCTGATTACTAGCTATATGTATATTGAGGAAACACCTGGAATACATTCCCAATATGTAACAGTTAAAAGGAGAAAACTTAAGATAAAGAATAAAAAATTCTGAATAAAAATGGAGCAGATGTTTTCAAGTTACTTTGCTGCTTTCTTTACAGAGGAAGATAATGGAGAGCTGCCTAGGACAGGGAACATATATCCTCCTGTACTAGGGAAGGAGTTAGCTCTAACATCATAAGAATAGAAATTATTTTGACAAATTGGACACTTCGAAGGTAGAGTGTTAGGTTCAGATAAAAATATCTATATGCAGCTTAAAAGCAATGTTGTCAATGAATAAAAAACATATTAAAATATATCACTAATGTTCAGACTAAAACTTGTAGAGAGGCAATCTGGACACATGCTGTTCTTGTCTTGCTAAAGTTTGCAGGAACTTCTTTGTCAAACATATTACACACCTGTTCCAGCACAAGTGTCTCTGCAAATGTATTAATTTGATATAACTCTTAGGAAATCAAGGATGACTCAATCGGATTTTTATGATTTGTTTTATTGGCTAACTGGCTACATAAATAATGTATAGTGAGAAAAGCTAAGTGTGTATTTAGAACACATCCTGTATTTAGCAGTAACTGCTGCGTAAGTGTATGTGCATTCTTGTAAATGTGAGATGCCACGTTCCTGAAAGCAAATGGGGTCACAGACTGTAATATCTTTCCGTTTCTCAGCATCTAGTAATGCATGTCAGCCATTCATCTATGTAATGGCTAGTCAGTGGGATCCATTTTTAACGTTGTTTGCCTAAGAATGTACTTGCTATTGGTTTAGTAAGCTCTGGGAATCTAAGTAAAGAATGTTTGTTTTCTGATACAGTTAATATGGATGAGGAATTTCACTTTACTTTTTTAACCAGAGAAACACCTCTAGTTGCTGAAGTAGAATATTTTAAGGATAGAAATGATTCCTGGTACTTACTGCTAATAACCAGCTGATGAAATTGAGTCTGGCTAGGAAAACAAGTCATGCTGACGTGAATGGCAAGGAAGCAAAGACAGCATTGCTGAAATTGGAGTTTAACGTGGGGATCTGTGCAGCAGTCAGCACATACATCGCTTTGATAAGAAACATTTGAGCTGTTGCAGAAGAAGGGCTTAAATTTAGTTTAGCACTGTTTAAAGAGTGCAGCTGGTTTGTGATAAATAAAGGAATGCTCAGCTTTTGGTGTTTACTTGCTGATGTATTCTCTGATCAGGAAGGATGAATTTTAAGTTGTTTTCCGTTCCTCAGGTTGTGGCCCGGGTGTTTTAGCCGATGCCAAGATGCGGGTATTTGAGCGATGTGTGTACTTTGGTGATTCGTGCCAGGATGTGCTGAGCACCCTGGGGTCTCCACACAAAGTCTTCTACAAGTCTGAAGATAAGGTGAGGGAATTAATTCAGGCCCAAGACTTTGTCTCTGTTCAGTACTGTCTCGGTTTAATCACAGGCCTGTGTTTTGCAAGGCCAGTGAAACTGAACTTCCACCTAGGATGAGCTATGAGTCCTTCACTTGACACGTAATAGACCAGGATGAACCATTATATAATTTGATTTTTAAAAGCTTTTTAAGCTAAATTGATGCAAATCTGTTTAAATAATAAAAAAACCAACCTACATCATTGTAACCGGTTTAAAAATTGATAAAAATGCAAGCACTTCTGAATCCAAATGAGTATTAGCAAGTGTGTACTACCTATTACTTAATTATATTTTATATTTTTATATATTTATATTGAAA